TCAGCCTTGGGCAATGATGAATCAGTGACAAAGTCTCCTGTCTTTCCTGGTGTCCAAGCATGGGTTGAACCTGCAAGGTCCACTGAGTAGTCAGCTCCTCTGAAAGCTGGTAAGGGAGCCTGTACAAAAGCTGTGTGCTGGTGTATTTGAGACTGTATGTAGATGTATTCAGCCTTTAAAATTATGGTTCCCTTCTGCGTTTAAGCTTGTCTCCCAGCTTTTCTTCTTGGGTTGTTCAGAGCAGGGGACAGTAATTATCTCCTGTGGCAGCACTGCCAGCTTGGAGTTAAGTGTGGCAGTAGCAAAGCCAAATGCTGCCATTTGCAGGCAGAATTACCTTTTATTTCTCCTAAAATAAAATATCAAGACTCCTGCCCCATGCAGAAAAGAGACTGTATGGGAATAGGAAAGGAAGAGATGTGCTGGCAGTAAGCATGTATGTGTTGTATTTTCCCTTTGGTGGATAAAATATTGCAGATGTGGGAATGAGACTTGTAGCTGGAGCCTGTGTTAAAGGTGTTTTTGTCCACTGTTAGGTACCAATGATGTTACAAGCAAGTCTGAGCAGCTACTTAGTGAATTTAAGCTCTGCTTTTAAATATGCAGATAGTGACCATGGATTTATGCCACTGCTGAGTACTTCCAGTGCTGGTTTTGTTTGGTTACACACCAACCAGGGCTACTTGTCCTTATATCAATCCCAGCAACTGCAACTCTTCTATTATTTGTCGCTAAACTTCAGAAGTGATTGCTACTTACTTATCTGGCACTATACTTGGCACTGCTGGCTAGTCCAAATCATCAAAATAGATTGCTCTGGTTTTGATCTCTTGTCAGAAGGTAGCTGTTGGAGAGGAAAATTGGCCCCATGTGTCTCATTTGCTTTACAGAGTTGAGAGGTTAAACCCAGAGAGTTACAGTGTGAGTTTAGCCCACCCCTGCCCAGGGATGCTTATGGCTAGCTCCTGAATTGTTTGCTAAAGCAAGGATCCAGTTTACTGTCACAGACATATCTCCCAATCTCTGCAGTTAATACAAAAAAAAAAAAAAAAAAACCAACACCCAAACCACAAAGATTTTTCTTCAAATGACAACTTTGTGATAAGAAATTAGACAAATGGTTTCAAGCAATAAACTACCAAGGTTTAAGGAGTCAATTCTCAGCAGCTAGGCAGAAATGTCTGTCCTTCTCTCCTAGTCAACCTTACTTCATTTTCAGTGAGGTTACTCAGCTGAGAAGGGGGACATTCTCCTGTTGGTGCTTGTCCTCTATGCAGAAATGAAAATTTCTGTACTACTGCTTTGTTGGTATGAGAGCATTGTCAGACCTGGTGCGATATCAGATGCTCTCCAGATTGCAGCTGGTGCCTTTTGACTAGTAGATCTGCTGTGGAGCTCAGGCATTGATTCAGTGCTGAGCACCAACAGAGCATCTGAACAGTGGAGGAAATAAATGGGTGCCAGAGCTATTCTACCAATTCCTTTTGTAGTTGGTGCTCTAACCAAAGTAACTGACTCCTGGTGGGTGTCCCTTTTTGCCTAGGTTAAATATTTGTGCAATGATGAGTGACTTTGGTTTGCCTTAACATGCATAAGCGTGAATTGATTTTTTTGAAAAGGCAATACAGATCATGTCTTGTGTTTGAGGTGTTTGGAGGGTATTGAGCCCAGTTAGGCGTACAGTGCTGCAGGACTAGCTGGGAGTGTCTCTGGGAAACTGGTATTTCTCATTCTTGGGGCTATTATCAAGGTGCATGGCTAGAACATAAAACTAGTTGTGTTAATACTGACTTTCATAGAGGTAAATATAGCAACTGAGCTGTAAGTACCTATTTTGAAAGTGCTTCTCCAATATTGAGTTCCCTCGCTGCTGAGTGAGGGGGCTGACCTTCGCCTGATGATCACATTGCTCTGGGTATAACAGATGAGGGGAGGAATGACTGAACTGTCGTGTTCATCAGCAGTCATTCTGGTTTCCTCTGGTTGGGTTTCTTCTGGGTTTTTAGAGTCTTTTGTGTGATGACAGACCTGCTAAGTATTTATTGTTGATGCTGGCATTCTGCCTACTACTTGGCTTGCTTATCCTAGCAACTGAGGCAGGTGGGTCTGGCACATGAAGCTGAAAATAGTTGTGCTGCCTTTAAAAGCCAAGAGATCTGAAAATAGGTTAAATGTAGACCCCCTGCAGAGAAAGTTTTATGCCTTCCTTTGGGAAGAATTTATGTGATTATATCCTTCGGGAAGTATCACCAAATGGGAAAGCTACTCATTTACAATTTTTATGATTTACCAGAGTTGACTAACACATAAATACTGCTGCTGCCAGGTAGCATCAGATCATCTTGTCAGTATGGGTTCCTCAGATACTGTTTAATACAGAACAGAGCAGTATGGCTCAATTATATGTTGAAACATAATGCATCAATTTAAACACCACGTGTCAGAGATTAAATTGCCCTAATGCATGCTGAAATGAAAGTCTGCAGCAAGAGAACTCCAGTTAAAATACCCAAACTGCTGCTCACGTGTAAGTACTTACTGGAATGTGAATATTGCTGCCTGGTTCTGGATGTTTAGAGGCTATCTATACAGTACTTACTTTAACAAATAATTTTAGAAAGCTGTATAAAAATTGATGCGTCTCTGTATACCCTGGTGGGATGTGGGAAGCAATGAAAACACTTCCACAGTCTGGAAATGGGCTGTGGGAGGCTTCAGGTTTCCCATTCCAGTGGAGTTCTGACTCCAGAAGTTAGGTCTAAAAGCCTAGCTGGCTGGTGCTCTTCCTCTCTTACTGAAAAACGCAATCAAGAAGGCAATAAATAGTCAGGTACTTTAGTTTGATTCCGGATACTGTCCTTGGATTATAGATTTATGTCTAATTTAGTAAAGCAGGCTGTAAGCCAGGGCATGGGTTAGGATGAAATGCTGACAAAGCACAGTGGATTTTGGGTTGGGGATCACCAAGGAAAAGCAACGAATGCAGCAGTAGTGGAGGGGTGGATAATAAAAAATGGAATATGAAAGAGGCTCTGTCCCTGATACTGCGTTCACATGGTGCTTCCCAAAACGTATGGTGTGTCCTTAGTGTATTTCCAGGGCTCAGAATGAGGTACCAATGCAAATATGTTCTTGACCACTGAAATGCAGATGAGACTTCTCCCTGTTCAGCAGAAGGAAATCTTAACTGAGTTACTGTGAGGCTGAGCAAGCCTGAAATTGGGAGTTCCGCCTTGTGGCCTCCCTGTTAGTATGCTTAGGACATTATCCCTCATGTAGTGTTTTAGTACGATGGCAACTGCATTTTGTAGCTTTCAGCTTGTTGATAACACTTAATGAAACAGCCTGCAAGTAGTCTTGAGATCACTGAAGCAGCTTGGTGAAGGAAGGACCGCTTTTGGAAGGACATCACTTGGCTTACTGACCAGTAATCACTGGAGATTCATGAAGTGATACCTCCCCTTACCAGTAACGACTCCTGGTGGCCACAAGTCTGTATGAACTAATGTAGAATATGTGATAACGGTCCAGCCACATCTTTTGTTGCCAGCTCTTCGCCAGCAAGTGCTTTAGCAGGAGCTGGAGTATGAGCAGTGCTTTGACTTCATCCATGCTCTTACTGACATTTTGTGTTACCTGCATGGACCTCGGGGCTACTAAGTGCAGAAACAGCAGTTTCTTTTCCTTTTTTTTTTTTTTTTTTCTTCCCAAGGCAAGTGCTTGCTGCAGTGTATTTGGCACCAATTCCCCTGCCAGCCGAGTCTTCTTAATGTACAGTACACTGCTTAAAATGTTCCAGGCCAAACAGAATTTCCACAGACATTTGGGGGTACCCTGGGTGAAAAGCATGCAGGATGGGCCGAGAACTCTGATGTGATGTTATTCTTCCTGTGTCTTCTGTCTTCTCTAGTACATAGACTGGATGTGGGTAGGAAATGATGCGTGATGCAGATGAAGGAAAAGGAGAGGGAGACTTGAAGTGATGAGTCAGAATGTCTGCACCTTTTTTGGTGTGTCTTCTGACTTAAAGGACAGTCATGGACGGATCGACTGGTTGCTGTCTTTCAGATCTGTCAACTGTATTTTGTGAACGTTTCAAGGGGGTTAACTCTGTATGGAAGTGCCTCAGCATCTTCTGCTGAAAACTTTCTCAGTCCAGAAGACTGGGATACTGTGTATTTGTATTTGTCGAGTTATTTCTGACTAAGTATCATCTGGGGTCACTAAATTCAGTGTCTCTCTCCCCTTAGCTGAAGCTTGAAGATCGCTCTGTGGTCCCTCGAGATGTGGTCAGACATATGAGCTCCAGCGTAAGTGCTTTTTTCTTTGTTCCTTTTTGATTGTGATACTGCTGCATGGATTTCTAAGGCTTGCCAAATTGCCTGAATGGAACCGAACAGTAATACTTCGAGCATGTTCTATTTTTAGTGTGTTTGATAGACCTAGGTGCATCCTTTGAAAATGAAATGCTGATAAAGCTGCCTCTCTACTGTTGCATATCTGCAAAGGTCTCCTGAGCAAGCAAGCCTGATAATGTCAGGTAATGAGACAAGAAGCTTGTCTATCCTGCCATCATTTAAGTTTTAAATCAATCCATTTTGAGATGTGGGAAATGTGGACCAGCTCTCCTGGACCTAACAGGGAGGCTGGAGTAGAGGCAGATCGCATTACTGCTATGTGCCTTTTGGTGTGCTGTGATAGAGAACTTGAAGGAAGTATTTTCAGGGAGACCTCTTGATCCACAGCGAGTACCATCTTGTCCAATTTCTCCCAGAAATACAGCAAGTCCCAACACTGCTGAAGCATCTGACACAGCTAGATCAGTGGAAAGTAAAGTGGTTCTTCAGCAGCAGCCTGTAATCATTACTTTTACTCTTTCTGGATACTACTTTAAGTCCTAGTCATTCTGTTCTGGTTGTGCAGCATTTGTGCTTATCGGGGATGTGCAGATTTGCTTTTTGTGTAGGAAATACCAGGAACATTGTTCAGGTAAGATGTGGTCTCTTTAGGAGCCTAGCTAGCTTGGCAATTTCTTGCTGTTGCTCATACCTAACCTATAACCCCAAGCCATATGGCCTGCCATGTGCACGCCTGTATCTTCCCTTGACTTGCTTCCAGCAATGTGGCTACCAAGGCTGTGATGAAGCAAGCAGCTGGCCACTAACTGCTGCAGTGGCACCACATGGTGTGCAGCCTGGTGCAGGGATGGAGAAGGCCATTTTCTGACCTGGCTGTTTTGTTTCTTTAAATAAAGCCTTTTTTGTCAATTAAAAAAAAAAAAAAAAAAAAAAAAAAAACATAAAATCCCATTTTCACACAATGTTCCAAAGAGGGGAAAAAAGGGAGGGAAAACTTGAAGAGTAATTTGAAAAATGCTGAAACAAAATATTTCCTTAAGAAATTTAATCATTGTTTGAAATGGAAATTTGGGGTCAACATATCTTACTAAAACTGCAGCTTTATTGAAGTATTTCAATCCAAAACAATGAACAGCTAGCAAATTGAAATATCAGCTGTTCATGCTATTGTACCTGGCACAGCTGGACTCTGTAGTATATCCTTCTTGCTCAGAGGGGTGCTTTGAGTCCTACCTCTCAACTGTTCTCCAGTGCTTCTTAAAGTTGTCATTTTAAGCTCTTAGGACAGCAAGTAATTCTCCTTTTGGCAAACATGTATGTGCTGCTTTTGTTTGCAATTTCCATACTCATCTGAGCAGAAATTGCATTCTGTCTTGCTGCAGATATATTACCCTACTAATCAGTAGATACATTACCCAGTAGTTGTTTTTACACTCATTTATTGTCTGTTTGCATGTTTAAACACTGGCTTTTACTTAACCATTCATACTAGTGGCCGATAACTTAATTTTTTTAATTGATGGAATGGTGAGGATATAACTCAATTTTTTCTCTTTATTCAAAATTATAGCGAGTCTGAAGATGACTTATGCTTCAGCTTACCCTCAACTATGTTTTAAATGTCAGTGGTAAATGAAGCAACAAACCCCTTCTATCCCAAAGAAAACCTTCACTTGTTAATCAGATATATTCCAAAAATTACAAGAGCATTTAAAATAGAAAATCTGCAAGTGTCAGCCTGCCAAATTCAGGATGTGGGATGGTTGCCCTGCACCAGTTGGCCTGGCAAATGCACAATGTGGAACTTATTTTGTATTCACCACACTCTCTTAGGGCTTGTTTTTAACCTTGAGCGGGAAGGACTCGAAATCCTCTGTTCCTCAAGAGAAGAGAACTGACTCAAATTCATGTGCTTCTCATCGAGCATTGAATGTGGGGAAAGACTGCTTCAGGGGGTAATGCATAAAATGAGATCCTTTTCTCTGAATGCAATTGGGCCTGTAAATCTAATCCAGCTGGAGGAGAAGTGGTAAAAGTGGCAGAGTTCATTTTTCCAGGTGATCTGCTAATTTGAGGGGAAGATTAGAAGTAGGTCTGTAATCTGTCAGACACATGAATTTTGTTGTGTCAAAGGGTGCTGGCCTATGCTGTCCCTTTGAAATAGTGGAATAAGAGGTTGATGTAAAGATCTCATTACAAAGAGCATTGAGGGAAAGAGTAGAAGGATGGGAGGTAGAAGATAGAGGATTGAAGCCTGCGCTTGCTGAGCTGCTGTTGTCTCAGGTGGGAGTTTGCTGGTCTGCCTTAAAGCCTTGTCTCTGAAGGAAGAGTCACTTCTCCATCCGTTCACCGCATGAATATTTGGTATCTGCAGCATGATGTGTGCTGTCAGGGTACTAGAAGAACCAGAAAGAAAGTCTAGGGAGCACACTTAATTCTGATGTGAGCGGGGTTTGAACCCATCAACTCTTCTAACAAAGATCAGTCACTTCCCTTTTCCAGATCTGCTGTTGGGGTTGATGGAAATTGATTTTTGTAACAGAACTGAAATGTCAGCTCGTTTTGTTTGGCCCCTCCTTTAATGGCAGCATCTAGTGAACAGGAGGGGGCAGTTGGATTTGAACAGGCTGGTGGGGAGCTGTGCTCTGGCTGTAGACCTGCTCTGGAAGACAAGTTTGGCGACTTCTCACTCCAGGACTGCATTGCTGAGCGCTGCTATAATCTCACAGAGTGATTCAGCAGAACCCCTCAGCCTGCAAATCTGCCTCCCCTGTTGCAGGCTAATGTTTCATGTGACAGTGAAATAAATAAACTCATAATAAACAAAGGTTCAGTGACAGGTGAGGGAGGAGAGCTGTTATTCAACAGCCCTGTAGCTTCTGGGGCAGCTCACAACAATGATCTCTGCTTTCTTGGCCACAGACACTGCTCTGTGCTTGCTCAGGTGTTATGCAACTAGGAGAACCTAGCCAAGCTAAACCTGGTGCTCTTGCCCATGACTAACAGTACCCAACTGTTAGTTGGGAGTCAGGCTTGTAGGGTGGTGCAGGTACCTTCTACATGGGGAAACTGTCACTTAGAGAATGGGCAGAGGGTGTTGGTATGTGTCAGTCACCCTGATCCTGGGTATATTACTTGTTATTCTTTCACCGTCAATAAAAGAGGGGATTTAGCCCCAGAGACAAGATCATCCACCGAATCCATAGGTGTTGGATTGCATCATGTCTCAGAGCTGCTGTTGTGTTGGCTACTGATAAAGGAATAATTAATTCTGAACTGCTCAGTGTAGGGCAAGGAATTTTTCTTGAAGTTTTTTTTGTTCTGACTACAAGGCAATCTAACACAGGGCCTGAACTGCAAAGCAAGGGCAGAGGATGAACTGGGTATACTTAATTTAGCTTAATCTGGAGGAAAAGCAGGATGGCTGGCTGTGCTCTAGCCTGCAGAAGCTGTGGGTTTGTTGAGCAGGTGCCACTTCTAAGCAGGCCTTGCTCATCCTGTGGCTCGAATTGTGCTGGCAACAGCAGTTGTGAATCTGGTGTAGTTCTGGCAAACTGTTTGCAGGTGAGAGTTATGGTGCAGCTCTGCTGGGCTCTTTCCTGGCAGCCTGTGCAGGCTGCAAGCTACGTTAGGCTTAGCTGCTGTCTGTCATCATGAGCTATAGCTGGGAAAGGCTCCTTTTTCTTTCTAGAAAGGCTGGGAAGCGATGGGAGTGATATGTGGAGCAGCTGGAGGGAATGAGCCCCTACTGCTTCGGGCCCTGCCAGCCTGGCTGTCCCAGCCTTCCTGGCCATGCTGGCACAGCTACACATGGGTGATGTGTGGGGCAGGACCTGCTCTCCTCACCACCACCTCCTTGAGAGCCCCAGGAGGCTGTGGAGCACAGGGCTTGCGTGGTGTGAGGAAGAGGACTTGCAGCAGGCAGGAGGGAAGCAAGCCAGCCAAATGGGCTGAGCAATCTGCCCAGGAATTATCCTGGACTGTGGGTGTCTGTAGGGTGTCTTTGCTCTAACTACCAGTCCCCAAGATCAGACTGGATAGTTGAGCACCAGCAAAGTCCTGAACTCCCCAAAGGGCTGCCCAGGGCTCCAAGTGAAAGCCTTGAATAAATATTTAATGTGGTCAAGAGAACAGCATGTTTTTAAGTGGACTGAGCAAACAAATCCGCTTCTCACAGGCTATAAGCCCTTCGAGTGTTTTGCTCAAGTGCTGTTGGAGCAAAGACCTTGATGTTTGAGATAAGGACAGCTTCAGAAGTTGCTGATACCAGGGCATTTGTCATGCTGGCCCTCAGTCAGCTTTTATAATGGACTTGTGGTCTTTAATAAATAAGAGTATCGATTGTCCCAGCTGTCAGGAGGCCAGGGCAGCTGCTGCATTTGACAGTGTTTGGGTTAGCAGCCCTTCCTTGCAGGCCTCCACCATATGTGTGGGCAATGTCCATATTGTGTGCTCCCTGCCAAACGATCCCCAGAAGGCTCTTGACAGCATGCATTATTTTCTTGGGGACAAAAAAGAACAAACAAACAAAAAAAAAAAATTAAAACTTTGCTAAAAAGTGAGGAGGAGAATGACAACCATCTTGTAATTGGACCAACTGTAAATTATCTGGCTTCAAACCTTGAAATCTGACTAAAGGTGCCAGGTTTTTTTTTTAGTATGGCAGCAGGTGAAGACCGTTTATAATGTCCTGCAAATCAAGCTTTACGTGAGAAGTCACAGACAGCTTTAAAGAATTTCTCTTTTGTTATGGGGTTGATTATCTGCCCCTGTCTTTGCTGACTCGGGGCAGTACCTACAGGATGGTCCTGTGGAGTTGCAGAGATCTGCTCAGTTGAATGGACCAAGAAACCAGGCAGATTTTAAAGCAAGTAAATACTAATCACCTGACATAGCGTGGTTTTATTTGACCAGATGCAGGGGTGTCTGGGCTGCTGCTTTAGCAGCCATTGCAAATTTTAACTGGGAAGAAAACATAGGTTTTTAATAGTAATCTCACCTTCTGAGTTGTCTTAGGGTCGTGTGAAATACCCCTTCAGAACAAGGGTCTGAAGAGTAACAGAGGGGTTAGTCCTGAAAGTTCACTAGTCTCTGCACTTCTGATTTGAACACAGAACATGTACGTATGTGTGTAGGACCTTCCCTAGGGGATAAACCCTTTTTCTTTTGCATTTTCAGGACAGCCAGTGTGGAACTGTAATTGATGTCAACATAGAGTGTGCTGTGAAGCTTGTAGGAACCAACTGCATCCTCTACCCTGTCAACAGCAAAGACCTGCAACATATCTGGGTGAGAACACAGCCAAAATACACATGGGAACCAGGGCTTGGTGGTTTGGAGGGATGCTGCTGTATTTCAAGTAACACATGCAAGGGAAGCATCCATGTTGTGCAAGATGCATCTGCAGTTAGATTTTATTTTAAACTTTCTACAAGCATCTTCCTTGGAAGAAGATGATGCAGCATCGCCTCATCTCCCCATCTGTTCTGTTTCTGATCACATTGCTGAGACCAAATTGACTTGAAGGGCCTGGTTGACATTAAATTGTGTGAGAACTTCACTGATATGGGCTGGTATGGCAACCAGATTGGGGCAGCCCCATGGCAGTGGCACAAAGCTTTTGAGCTGCAATATAATTACTGTTTAAACAGGCTATAAAAATGCTGAGATGAGTCCAGCATCTTGCTATTGAGCTGGAAGAGTCTGAAATATATCTGGTTCTCCCTCTTGAGCTGGGTGGGTGATTTCCAGAAACCAGGTGGGATAGGATTTTATCATTCTCTTTCCTCTGAGAAAAAGATAATTTGGGAGTGAAGAGCAGGAATGTCACAACCCTTCTCAAGAAACAGCCTGTGGAAAGGCGATGGGATTGCAAGCTTCTCTGAGACGGAAAATTAGTCTCAGTGACAAAAATTCATTGTTAATATTAACTGAAGGCAAGTACAAGTATGCCTCTAGTTTGCAGAGCACCTCTTGAATGGAACAGGACACTTAAGTTTAAGATCTGAGGACAAAAAAATCCCAGAGAAGGCCCAAGCTGTCTAACTGGAGAACCCAGGCTATGTGCTGACTGTCAAGCAAACTCTTTGATGTACCTTGGTTCCAGATTACAGCGAGATCTGCAGTTGCTGTCGTAAATGCCACTGAGATTATCTAGTCCGAATTGTGTGAGGACTTGGTGGCCCAAAGTACTAAGAATTTGTATTTATAAGGTTCTGTTTCCTGCTGTCTTCGCAGCCTTTCATGTATGGTGACTACATAGCCTACGACTGCTGGCTGGGCAAGGTCTATGATTTGAAGAACCAAGTCATCCTCAAGCTGTCCAATGGAGCCAGGTACTTCTTTCTGTTGAAGAATGTTCCCCTTGGTATTCATAATCCCAGTCTATTTTAGAAGAACTCGAAACAGGCTGGGCTTCATTCACACACTGATAAGTTATCTGCTTATCTTATCTTTAGATGTAGAGTAAGAATACATCTTTCTCTGAAAACACTGAGATTCATTGATGACCCTCTGGAAAAGCTGTTGTCTGAAAGGTGACAATTTTTTTCAGTCCCAGCAGATCAGTGCTCCAGAACTAGAGCATGTTGGTCTTTAAACTGTGCTTTTCTCCGGAAAAGTAGCTGTTTAAGATGGATCACTGTTCCAGACCTGTTCTCAGTAGGAGGATGTAACTTCACTGAGACGCAGGGAGGATTATTACCTTAAAAAACTCTGCAAAGATGTATAAACTTGCAGGCTAGTGGTTTTTATTAAAGATGAAAAAGCAGCCCAAGACTGAACACCTTTGCTTTTTCAGTGTTATTTGCAACTGTATTAGGAATGTTTTTCTCAATGAAGACATAATCCAAAGTCATATCTCTAGAGAGAGATTTAACTGAAAATAGTGAAAGAAATATATGGTTATCTTCTTTCTGCAAAGCCAGCAGAAGGATCTGAATTCTGTTCCTTATACATGTCAGTTGTGAGCTAAACCCATATGTATTCACTACATTCACTCTGTTACTGAGGCCTGTCTTGTCCGACAAACTTTTTTTGCTGATGCAAGGGAAGGAAGGAACCAGTGGATGGCCAAGAGGCTTATGGGCCTGACAGCTGGGCAATAACCCATCTGTCTTGTAAATTGAGTGTTGACATTGATGTTTAAAAAAAAAAAGGGGGAAGGGGGGGGACCCACAAGCTTGCAGCCAACTCTGAGTCTGAGAAGCGAGTAATGCAAGAGCTATAACAGATGATTGGTGGGTGTGTCTGATTTTGATTGTTTTAGCATTCGGTTAACCCAGGCTGGAAGGCTTACGCATATGTTAAACTGGGAGTGAAAAATAGCTACGCTTCTCTATCTGTATCGCCTGCACTTACTGGTGCAATTTAAAACCCTGCTTGGTATGTTACCAGCTCATGCATAGCTACGTAAAATGAGGTAACTGTTTTCAAAATCTCTTCCTAATGAATCATTTGAAATCCCACCAGAACTCACTCTGGAAACGAAGCTATTACTGAAGCAAGTATAACCAAATTGCCTTTAGGTTCTAGCATTGGTGTGAATAAAAAATAGGACCTCTGCAGCTGACAAATCTTTGCAGCACCCTGCATATTACTTTATTACACGCTGAATGGAACCTTTAGATACCAGGCAGTGCTTTTATAGCTTGTTTATAACCAGCTTTGTTCTGGACCATAAAGGCTCAGTGATACACTCCTGGACATACGAACAGACCTGCTCAGGCAGTGTCAGTTAATTTGGTGCTGTTTGCTTTTGAGGTGGATGGCTCTGGAAATGTGGCTGTGTCTTTTGTCTGTTTTCCAGGTGTTCTATGAGCACAGAAGATGGAGCCAAGCTGTATGACGTTTGTCCTCATGTCAGTGACTCGGTGAGCTCCTGCTTCTCCTGAGAGTCTTTTTGATCAACTTCATCTTGTAAGCTTTTTGTGCAGCAGGGAGGGAGAGGCAAAATTATAGGCCCTTGATAATCCTAAAAATTAAACCATGCATTGCAGCTGAAAAACACTTCACTAGATTTTCACTTGAAGTAAGTGTAACAGGATGTAGCTTAAAGGTAATGTTAGTAATGAGCAGGCTTTGAGGAGGTATTACAATTAGTATATCCAACTGCTTTCTTTGCAAACAACTTGTATAATGTGCAGTCAGATGGCTGATGTCAAGGCAGTTCAATGTCTGCTCATTGTACATGCTTGAAAAGGCTCTTACTCCATTTAATGCTTTAAAAATTGTTCCCCTTCTGGAAAAGGGCAGGTTGTTTAAAAGGTGTTCTGCACATTTCCAGATCACATAAAATACTGCCTCTCTTGTTATTATAGTCCATCACATTATCTGAATAGAGACCTGCCACCATACTGGCATTTTCCAAATCATGTGGTGGGGAAGGCTTTGCTAGCTTTTGGGTAAAACAGAGTTCCCTGTGTGATAATGGGGTCTAACCTCTCTCCCCTTCAAAGACTGACAGCTTGCTTGTTCTTCCAAATGGCATCAGTAGGGCCTCGCTGCACTCTGGCAGCGGATTTGGGAGTTGACTGAGAATTGTGTGTGATTCTTAAACTACCAATGCAGTCAAGCCTTATTTTTCCCAGCCTTCAAAGCAAAGGTCCCTTTGATCCAAAACTGCACTTGTGTTCAAATTTGATGCTTCTTTCTTGAAGAGCAAATGGAATATCAGTTTTATAGGATGTGTTGCTGTGGTTTTCCTGTTATATACAGAAAAGGAGTGGTCTGTTACTAGGTATTCTCCAGTATCTTAGTCTCTGCTACTTTGGATTGTGCACTGTGTTTTCCACTTGCTAATTGGATGTTGTAGCAGCATCCAGCTTCTTGTTACTCAATTTTGACATACCTTGTTTTGAGTCAGGCTGCCTTTAAAGTGTACGTAGTCCTCTGGAGATTGCAGTTTGGTCTGAAACACGAGTTGTCTCCAGTGTTACTCTTGATTCTGTACGTGGAATTGCTGTGTGTTAGATACTTGCCTGATTTAGATCTTGTTGCAGTTTTTACCTTTTCTGACAAATTACGAGACTTGATACAGTTTTGTGTTTGGTATTTTATCTACCCTAAACTGCTCTGTCTGCCCCCCACATTAGAAATCTTTAGCTCATCAAGTCACTCTAAATATCAGTGGGAAAGAGCTCTAGGAGAGCAATTGTTGTTTACTGTCCTGTTTTGTTTTCAAAGAACTGTTGTATTAACTAATCCACTTAAGACAGCAATAATACTTAGAAACTTAATGTGATGAGCAGGGGAGTGAGGGCAAGCATCCTCTGACTCTGAAAGCTGTGGGTGCTTGAATTAGAGCATGGAAGAGACGGGTGTCCTTGCTCAAGACTCAGCCCACCTTGGCTACCTTGTTACTGAGTGATTTGTGTGGAAATATGCATCCTTTTTTTCTTGCAAGTACCTTTGCTTCTCCTTCACTGAGTCATAGTCCCGTTTGGATGTGTGTCAGAGCATGTTGCTATAGGAACTGCTGGGCTGACTTCAGGAGAGGAATGAGCTTTAGGAGATGGGCAACTTGCAGACTTTACCTTTATGGTTAATCTTACTGATCATGAATGAGAAAAGAGAAATGCTGGAATCTTAAATCTTAAGAGTCCTTTATGCTGGTGTTTCTACCTTCCTCCTTTCCTGCACAGGGTCTCTTTTTTGATGATTCATATGGCTTTTATCCTGGGCAAGTCCTCATCGGGCCTTCTAAAGTCTTCTCCAGTGTGCAGTGGCTCTCGGGTGTGAAGCCTGTTCTGAGCACAAAGAGCAAGTTCAGAGTGGTGGTGGAAGAGGTAAGGACTGACAAGCTGACACATGGCCACCTTCTGCACAGAACGGTCCCTGGCTGGCATTTTGGAGTAGAGTCAGCTTGCCATGGTAACCTTCCAAGAGCAAATGCACGGTGGCTGTGTTGTTCTGAGGTGACAAATTTCTCATTGTGGACTGACAGGACTTTTGAGCGTGGTTTGGCTTTTCCTCCCAAGGGTCCCTGCTGGCACCCTGTAAGGGGGTAGCATGCCAGTACTTAGAGGCCAGTACTGCTGATCATTAGGGTAGTAGAAGCACCTCTTCTATTGAAACTTAATGCTGCATGCTATCCAAAAGGGGAGAAATACTGCTGACTCTCTGCTGAAAGAGAAAGCAGGTCCAAGTCATTAGCATGTCTCTCTGTGACATTGGACCACTGATTTGTATGCACTAGAGCTTCCTTTCCAAGCCAGATGTTGTCTATCTTGAAGTTAAAAACTGTAGAAGCTCTCAGGGCTGCCAAGAGCCATGCTATGGGAACGCTGTAGTGGTTCTGAATGTGTTGAAACTGCACTTGGTCATCTTAAATGATAAAAGCAGGTTTGCTGTTTTCCTGTGTGCAAATGTTCAGATTCTAGACACTGGTCTAGGAAAGCCTCTGAAAAATTAAATTGCTTTCTCTCTTTTTACATTGTAGGTACAGGTGGTAGAACTAAAGGTTACTTGGATCACTAAAAGCTTCTGTCCTGGAGGTACTGACAGTGTGAGCCCTCCTCCCTCTGTCATTAGCCAGGAGAACTTGTCCAGGTGAGATCAGCTGAAAACCCCTTTTCACTCCCAGCACCCAGGGCCTGCACAGGCTTTGGGCAACGTGCCCACCAACTCATTAGACACGATGCTGCTGTTTTCCAGTGGGTTTTTCTCCTTGCTGTATGCCTGTATATTCCAGAGCTTCAAAAATGTGAGCAAATAACTTCCAAATTAGTTTAGCAGACACTTGAGCTACCAGCACAGGGGCTAGCATCCCACTAGTCCTCTCCACGTACTCTCCAGATGAAAAGTATGTAGAGGAAAGCAGTGTGTGGCAAAACTCCCTTCATCCATTGTCCTTCCCCTTGGTCTTGGAGCAAGGCTGCATCTTTTGACTGTAGGCTGCTACAGTGTCTTGCTCTGGACCCAGACTGGTGCTGAGGGAGCAACTGGTGCCCTCTGCAGGCTGCAGCTGTGAAAGTGGGCTGGACAAAACTCAAATAAAAGGCAGATGAGTAATAGCACTTTGCAGTGTGGTTCCTGCCTGGAGTTTATAAGCTGGAGGAGAGCAGCTCTCAGATGATGGGGGGGGGAAGGAGAAAAAAAAAAAAAAAGGCCAAACAATGCCAACTTTAAATGCTTGAAATGTCTCTTGGCAGCTGTCTTTGGGAGGGGGAGCTAGAGGGAGAGGAGTGACTGGTGTCCCACCCAAACCCTTTGTGTCCCCACCCAGTCCCTGGTGAGATTCCCACTCCTCCTTTAGAATTGTGTGCCTGGAAAAGATTTGGTGTGGTGTTAGCTTCTGCCACCCCAGAAGAAGTGCAGTTGGCATGAGATCATGCCAGCCTTGTGAAGGCCCCGGTCACTGCTAGGTTCTGTTACTGCTTTTGCACTTTGCTAATGGCTGTCCTCCTGTTGTACCCAGGGTAAAGCGTCTGGGGTGCTTTGACCATGCCCAAAGGCAGCTTGGGGAAAGGTGCCTCTATGTGTTCCCAGACAAAGTGGAACCTGCAAAAATCACCTGTGAATGCCCTGAGAGAAACTGTGTCCTGGGTGAAGGATCAGTTGCCAAAAAGGTGAGTTGAGGGGTCGAGGGAGACACTTGACTTCTCTAAGCATTTCTGTTTGCTGTGGCTTCTAAAGCAGAAGGCTTCCTGGCAGTCATGTGATCTGAAATGTGACTCCTGAAGTGGTTGTGAAGAGTAATGGCTTGTTGTTGCCAGCAGCGAAGTCACCTTGTACAGCAGTCTGACTGCACTTGGTGAAGCATGCAGCTAATGCCACAAGAGAACGTGAACAAGACCTTGAACATAGAGGTGTCACCTTGCAGGGGTCGAGCTGTGTCAGAGCTGGTGTGCTCTGACAGCCGGGGCTGTTAGACACCTGCTGTTTTCATTAGCACGACCTCAGGTTTCTCATGGAGCTGAACTGCTCAGTTACATCCTTGCTATAGAGAGACAAGAAAGAAGTCTTTGCTTCCTAGGCCAAATGAGTCATGCTATGGTTTCTACATGCTGGCTGTAGAAGCAGGAGCGTTCCTAGAATAACAGGATATCATCAGTGTGGATGGTGACCTCCCTGCATAGCTGCATCTGTTGCATAGATTAACTTGTACAGCCTCTTGTGATCTTCCATAACAAAAAGTTCAGAACATGCTTAAAATAGACTTAAGGAGCAAAGCTCACTTTCCTCGCACTAGTCCAGTCCTGCTCTTGAGTAGAGCAGTGGTGAGATGCTGGTCTGCAGAATACTCAGGTGCAGGTGGAATGTGCAGAGGCCCGTGGGGTGCCATTTTCCTCTGTAGAATTCCCCAGGCTGCCTGGCAGCTTGCTGAGTGTACAGGCATATTGTCTGACCCAGGTCCGCTTTCTCTAGGTGAGGAGGCTGCTGAAGAAGCAGATAGTGAAGATCATGTCATGCTCCCCAGAGTCTCAGGGTACCAGTGAAGCCCCTGACAAGGAGCCTGCTGCAGTTGCTGACCAAAAATCAGAAGAGCTTAAGCCTGGATCAAAGAGTGAGCTGGATGACTCTTCCAACAGTGCACCAAGTCCTGGGGAGAGGAAGGAGGAACAGCCTGAAGAATCAGGGAAGGAGAAAGGGGGAGCAGCAGCACGACAGCAGCAGCCTCCCTTTCTGCTGAAAGACGAAGGGTCATCCGACTACCGGCTTCAGTCGATGGAGCAAGATGCTGACGATGAGGCAGCTGATGACACTGATGACACCAGCTCTGTCACCTCCTCTGCTAGCTCCACTGCCTCATCCCAGAGTGGCAGTGGCACTGGCCGCAAGAAGAGCATCCCTCTTTCCATCAAAAACTTGAAGCGGAAGCACAAGAAGAAGAAGACCAAGATTTCACGAGAGTTTAAGCCAGGAGACAGGTGAGTTGAATCTCCAGACCCAGGTATGCTTGCCAAAATCTCCCTCGTCGAAGTTCTCAGGTGTCAAGCACCTCCTCAGCTTGTGTGGAGGATGATGGTGCACCTCATGTTAGGACACTGCATAGTAGTAACCAACAGCAGTTATCTTATGATGACTGTGCAGTGGCCCGTGTGAGATCAGCTTGGTCTCAGTCCAGCTTCTAATGAATCTGGGGCCACGTGATACGACACTGATGCTATTCCATTTCATCTTTGCCTCAGGGCATCGACAGAATCTGTGCTGTGCTAGACTCTGTATGCAGGGAAAGAGACAGGTGAATAAAGATCATACAGCTTAAACATAGCACTAATTGGTTACCTCGCTGGCAGCTTCTGCAGAGAGGCTGAGGGTAGCCCGTGCTGGCAGGAGTGGACAGCTTATCCTCAGAGGGCTGCACTGGCAGGGTTTCACGCTGCAGTGGTCTCCATTATCCTTACCCTGCTCTGGAGAGAGATCTGCAACTTTTGCCAGCAGTATACTTTTTATTGGTTTTTTAATGAACAAAGTGCACTTCTTGAGAGCCCCGGAGGAATTGACTTCAGTAGCTTGAGGGAGGAAGCATTGCATGTATCTGCCCGTTTCTAGATAAAACTGGATCTCAGCAGCTTTTACCTTTTAACTTGAGAATGTTTAAACTGTTTTCAGGGGTTGCAAACACATCTGACAACTGGCTAGCCTGTCTTGCTGGCTTCCCTGGGCTACTTAGTTGTGTACAGATCCTGCATCAGAAATGAGCTAGCACAAAATAACATGTGAGAATCCTCTCAGAAAAGTGACATTATCGGGATTCAAGGGATCTGGTAGTTTGAGAATGCCAGGAACTTCATTCACATTTTGTTTAGGTATTTTAGCTTCACCTGTATGCAAGGAGAACTGTTTCTTTTAGTTCTTGTGCGCTTTGGAGAAATTGGATTTGAAGGTCACAAACCTCAGCAGAGCACTATTTAAGTGAAAGAAAAAATGGGAGTGTGTGATGGAGTTCCTGGGAACTGATTCTCTGTTCACTTTTCACTTCTCAACCCCCTGCTGAGTGCCTCTACTTCACTAAAGGTTTTGTTAAGGAGTGCTTACCTATTAAACCTGGCAGCTTTCTGCACCATACAGGCAGTGGGGATAAATCTTTGTGATTCACGGGGAGAGATTCCTGTGCTGGGTATGGACAGCTCTATACAAGGAAATGCAGAGATCAGATGTTGGGACAGTTTGCAGAGATGGCCGTGTCACAGAGAATAAGAAATAGAGGTTTTTTCAGTACAGAATGTGAAGCCCCAGCTGATACTTTAAAGGGCATATGTGACAGCTGGTCACAGCTCAGTATGAGTGGTCTTCACTGTTTGAATATTCAGCTGAAGCTGGTGAGACCATCAGTAGATGTGCTGCCAAGCTGAGAAATGCAAAGTAGACGGGCTTGCTGCAGTTAGTCACCAGCTCTAATGTGTCAGCTCATGGGCATCTCTGACTGCAGGGGGCCAACTCAGCATGTGGCTTTACCATCACTCAGTGACCTGCTGCAGCTCTCTGGACAGCACATGAACTTCTGGTTATTTTTTAGTGAGGATATACAGGGATTTTTATTAATGTCAAGTCATGATTTTTCCTTCTGAAGCCACATAAACTGCACTGCAGACAGGCCTGTATCATTTCCTTGGGTGGCCTGCCTTTCCACTCTCACATGCCCTCACTTCCCCCAAGGAACCATCTGTTGGCATGTCACCCACCACACTTGACCTCTTACACATTTCCTTCTCTGACAATTTCTGCTGTTGAGTGCTGGCCCTACTAGAAACTTCAAATTACTTCTTAAAAAAATATTTCTCTGACATTCATAAGAACAGTGCTGGAGGAAAACAGTTGTATTTGCCTATTGTATCTTCTTTATGGTTGGACTTGAAACCAACATAAATGCAGCACTTGTGTTATGTCTGGAAGGCCTGGCCAGCAAAATAAAGACAGAATTTAATATCAGCATGGGATTCAATGTGTTTTGTGCTGTAGGAGACATGAAAATGGTGGAGGGCTCATTAGAAGAGCCTGTCTAGCTAGACTGCAGCTCTGTTCCTCCTGCCCCCAAGCAACTTGCCTCTTCAAGCAACTCTGTCAAGCCCCACAGTGGAGTGCCAGCATGTGGTCCATTGTTGCATGTTTGGGTTTCATTTCTGAGCTGCAGAGACACACATGTTTGTGTTTGAACAGCTGGGAAGGAGACTTGTCTCTCTCAAACAAAATCCTTTTGCTTTACCCACATTCAGTGTGTTGCCTCCTTTTTTTCTTTTCCTTTCTGGAAGGGCTGAGGTGGATGCTGCTTTATCTTTCCTTTCCAGTCCCATGCTCCTCTAGCTTCAGAGACTCCTCAGAGCTGCCAGGCTAGAAGGTGCTTCACTGGAAAAGTTCTTAAGTTTCAAAGTATTTGAAGCTCCTGTTGTGCCTCTGCCAGGGGTAGAAAGTGGGTGCTGGTAGATGTTAATTTGCTCCACTAGGAACAAAAGTGAGCTCAGCATCAGCTCCCTGGAAAGTCAGTCCTCCTGCAGCACAGACTTGCAGCAGTGTAACATCTGCAGTGATTGAGAACCCATCAAAGCAAAGCTTGCTGTGTAGCTGCTTCCACTGGGACTAGATGGGGTTTCCTGACTTGCTTCCCAGCCTGATGGTGTGTGCCTTTGTGTTGCTGAGATCCATCTTGATTCCTGATTTTGGCAGCATCACGTTTTGGTTGTGCTCATGCATGTTCCCTCTGGTAACGTGTTGCCTTTCTGTGTTTCCAGGGTTGCTGTAGAAGTGGTGACCACGATGACTTCAGCTGACGTGATGTGGCAGGATGGCACTGTGGAGACAAACATTCGCTCCAACGAGCTGATTCCAGTGCATCATCTGGACAACAACGAGTTCTGCCCTGGGGATTTTGTGGTGGACAAAAGAGGTATTGGGTGTCAAAACAATGCTCTCCTCAGGGAACAAATATGCTCTTAATTGCAAAGTATTCTTCAATATGGATCTCCTAATGTACGTCGTAGCCCTTTTTATGACAGCTGTTAGTGGTACTCACTTGAGGTAGGCACAAGAGCTGAACAAGGCACAGACAGTGATTCAAGTGATTTAAATACCAAAGTTGAACTATGAGAACGTGCGAGGTGTGGAAGGAATAAGTGCAAAAGAACAAAGCTGGAATTCTCCATATTTCTGTAGAGCAGGGGTGGCCTACCTTCTCCTTGAAAGTGCAAATGGCTCTGAGCTCTCTTGCAGAATGAGGGGAGAAATGAACAGCTCACCTGAAGCTGCTTGGTATGGCTTGTCTATCATGACCCTCCATTTTTTCTTGGAGGGTTTTGGGATCCAGAGGCATCTTTTGCATCCCTTTTCTTCACCAAACCAATTGGTGACACTTGTGCGAGGGTCACGGTACAAGTTCAAGGAGACTTACAGCTTTTGGATATGAAATATTGATGTCACACCATCTGGCTCTCGGCTCCTCTTCTTTTCTTGCAGGGGTAGACCCTCAACAGTGGGGAGCACAAGGTGATGTCAGGTTGGGAAGAGAGAAAGCTGGCTTGACAAAAAAAGTTGCTGTTTTTCATGGCCATTTCTGATGAGTAACAGTCTGACTGATCTTGTGGGTTAGACGTAGTTTTTGGAAACTAAAGTGATCTATCAGCTCCAGCTCCACCATCCTAGCTTGGCCTCTGGGAATCTGTATTCCTCTGTCAAACATTCTCTCCTAGCAGTCTGGGATGCCCACAGTTCCTCGTGTCCCCCTGCTAAGGATGCCAGGAGGTGGATCCTGATCACCCAGATAAATCTGAAAGATGTCTGGATACCAGTGTGCTGAATAACAGCCCAGGCCTAGAGAGGTGGTCCAGGCCCAGCTTTGATGCTGTTGGATCCCTGATGCATGCATCCTGCCTGCCTTCCACCTTTGTCCAGTTTATTTTTCCAGAGGTGTAAAACTGCTGTGGGTGACACATTTCTAGATGAAGAGCTTGGCAGCCAGAGCTGCTCTCAGGGAGCTCTTGGCCAGCCTGTCCAGAAACTCTGACAGTCGTGGTGCGGAGCTAATTCAGAGAGCAGAGCGCTAAGGTGACAGCGTGTTTTCTCTTGGTGGTAGAGCTCAAAATTGGTCCCAAAGTGAATGTGTTCCAAGTCAAATGCAATATAATCTTACTTTATGATCACTCCATGCCCCGTTAAAATGCAACTCGCTAGCTGAGTACAATTTTGACTGTGTAGGAAGAACTGTTTTTCCTCATGCCATTCACAAATGGAAGGTTTCAGCCGTGAGAACTTGGGAGCTGACAGCCTCAGTTGCTGTGTGAAGTCTGTGCTCCTCCACTTAACTTGTCTGTTTTCTTCCCTGCCACTGCAACCAAAAGCTCAGAGCTCCCAGGACCCCGGGTTATATGGAGTTGTGCAGTCTGGTGACCACATTGGCCGTACCTGTGTGGTGAAGTGGTTCAAGTTGAAATCCAGCGGAGATGATGTGGAGGTAAGTGCAGGAGCCCAGCCTGTTGAAACCAGCTAAGAGAAGGCAGCCACAAAACAGCACAAGCTTCACATATAAGCACAGATAAGCCTGGGAGTCAGCTCTGCAGTGGAGTTTGTCCTTGAGGCTGGGAACAGCCATGTGCTTTTGGGCTGAGAGGCTTAGCTAGAGGTGGTGTCGCTTCATATTTGTATATGCCTGCAAGGCAGCAAAGACCAAGCAGAGGGTTTACATCCCATAGTCAACATCAGGCTCTGGAATGGATGAAGATTTTTGCTGAAGTCATCACAGACAGCTGATATCTTGCGTTCACTATAAGGATTTCTCTTTCCTGTGTCTTTGCTAGTTCATGGAAAGAGAATCAATCTATTGCAGGTTGTCCTGCTTGCTTCTGCCAGGCACTATTGCCTGTAGTCAGCCCTAATACGTTTTTCTCGGAGCTTGCAGGAGCACTGTATTCTACACAGTCTTGATAGACTACAGCCTAGTTGGAGATGAGAGGGGGACTCTAACCACACAAATCTGGTGTACTCCTTTCTGCCCTAGGAGAGGAGGCCACATTGTCATAACTGAGCAAGGCCCTTTACATGCAGAAGCAGAACATCGGGCTGGCCTGAAGTTGTGCTCCATTTTACTCATTTCTCATTATTTGTGGGCTCCTAGCTCTCTTCCTTCAGGAGAAATCAAAGCAAAGATGCTTCCCATTAATTTACAAGTTTTCTGTCAGACACTTCCTGTTGCCTGGGATCATTTAAAAAGTAGACTCTAACCCTTTGGGCCCTAGTGAACTGCTTTGAGAAATCTGGGTGTTCAGAAGGGCATAAATAATTGTTCTTGCATGTCTTGTGATCATAGTGACAGGGAATCTGAAGCAAAGGTGAGGGTGAGCAGATGAGACAGAATATCTGCTTCCTTTCATTGTTGTGCCTTAATTGATGTGCTACAGGATGAGGTGGCAAGAAGGGGACATTAGTAGCTGCTTGCAGGCTGTTGGAGCAACTGAAGGTTGACAAAATACCACACAAAGTACTTTCAAGTGTTGAAGGTGTGCTCTGAAGGTCAGTGCAGCATCCTGGAGCTGACATGTTTGCATTCTGTCTCCAATGCAGCTGATCGGGGAGGAGGAGGATGTGAGTGTGTATGATATTGCTGATCATCCAGACTTTCGCTTCCGCACTACTGACATTGTGATTCGCATTGGCAACTCAGATGGAGCCACAGCTAAGGAAGATGAGGTGGGTTCTGGGCACAGTTATGTCACTGCATTGTCACCAGGTATTAGTTGGAGACACTTGAAAGGATCAATAGGAGAGCCTCTGGCCCCACATAGGCATCCGAAACTCCCTAGCTTGCTAGTTTTTCTGTCAGTGTCCCCTGCTGTCATGAGTAACATATCAGATCTCTAAGTCTGGTGGAGATAGAACCTTGAAATCCTTTGACCTTGGTGACAGTGTCTGTAGCAGAGCAAGAACAAAGTTGAGACAAGAATTGAACATATGCCTGAGGGTTTTTAATAAAACTCTTGCTTAGGTTTCGGAGTAACTTCTAATAATAAGTATATTCCTTGGGCTCCTGAGCAAGATTGAAGGTGGATCTGTCATGAAACCAGTTTCACTTGGCAAGAGAAGACTGGGGTTCTGGTTTTTATCTGAGTTATTATGTACATATTAATTTTGTTGAGCTGATTTGATCTCCTAGGGAGGCAGAGGGAACAATTTATACTGTAGAGGGTGTGCTCTTTGCTAGGAAACAGGCTTCCTTACCGTGCAGGGAAGACCTCCAGCTTTTGAGGCTGCTGCCCTAAAAAAAGAGTTAAAAGGTATAGTGTGGCTCCTATTGCGGTTCTAGTTTCAGCAGCATGAAACACATCCGAGCTTGCTCAGCTGACCTAAATAACCTTCTTCCAGTGCAAGATGCTCCTTACTGCGTGCACCCTGTGCCAGCTGTGACTTGTCCGTTCACGCCTGCGCTCGCTCTGCTGGGAGAAGCTGCTGGGAGCCCTGGCGGGGGTGCGGAGGGCAGGGGCTGGCTGTTGGCACCTCGCTAGAGGGCAGCCCCAGCCAGGGAAGGTCCTGTCCCCTTGCTCCTGTCCCCTTGCTGCCACAGCCCCTGCAATGGCCCTGGGCCTGATCAGAAGTCAGGATCTGCTGCCAGATGTAGCCCTCCAGGTTCTCCCCTCCTTATGGGGAGAGTTTTCCCCATCTCCGTGGCAGTGTTGTGGGGTTTCTCATGGAAACCGTATCTGTAGGATTCTTCTCCCCCTTGGCATGGGACCCCAGGACTCCTGCCACTTCTGCAGCAGGCTGCAAGTATTGCTCTAGGTGGTTCTCCAGCTGTGGAATATCTGTTTCTCAAAACCTTCCTGCTCTGCATTGAAGTGCCTGGGAAAGAAAAGGGACTGACAGTTTGCTCTTGTTTCCACAGCCTTCAGTTGGACAAGTGGCTCGTGTGGATGTCAGCAGTAAAGTGGAAGTGGTGTGGGCTGATAACTCCAAGACTATCATTCTGCCTCAGGTGAGGTCCTGTTCCAGCTCACAATATCCCTGTAATTCTTAGTGACAAGTTTTGGTTTCAGATCCTGGGTGCAGAGAGATTCTAGGGTGACTTCCCACTTCTGTTAGCACAAGAAAATCCTTCCCTCTGTCAGGAGGACTGAGCAACTAATTGGTTGTCACTGCTTTTGAGTGTAGAGAATAGGAAGTTATGGGCAGACTGTTGCTTCCTTCACATGCTGCACTGCATGGTCACAGCCCTGCTCCTGGCCTCCAGCACCCGCTGCTTTGCAGAGGGGGTTGCAGAGCTCAGGGATCATCAGTTCTGCCTTTAGCCCAGGTTCACTGCGTTGCCCAACTAAGGCACTGCTGAGAGGTGATTGCTTGTTCTGTCTTCCTTGTGAAATGGCCCCATAGTGTTTTCTCTGGCTAAATAAAGAAGCTTTTTCCAGAAGCTGGACTACAGCCACAAGTTGTCACCTTTAGCTAACCTGGGGATCAGACGCAAATCTCTTCCCGGAGCTGGGAGGGAAAAGGGTTGAGTGCAAGCTTCAAAATACAGATATAGCCATACTGCTAATCCACTGAACCCCGGTGATTTGTCTTCTGCATTGTTCTAAGGTTTTTGTTGTACTGTCTTGTAATCTTATTCGCTACTCCACATACAGTTTCATCCCATGTCTTTGCTCCCTGTTGCTTCAAATTAAGGCAGACAGCCCAAAGATAAGAAACAGCCTGCATCTGTAGGGTCCCATCTCCATCTCTGTGGCAGAGAGCACCACTGCCTCTGCTGCAGAGATGCGTTTGTGAGTAGAAAGTACTCGATCAAGATTTCTTTTTAAACCAAGCAGCTCCGCATTAATTACAGTAGAATAGTCAATGCCTGCACTATGACAGGGGACTAGAGCGTTACAAAGCAGGCTGCTGTCTCCCTTCCCCCTGTTGTCACATGTGCTCGGATCACAGGCACAATCGGAGGTCTGATGTGCGCTCCACAAAGGGCTGTTCTCACACTGCGGTGCCGGGGCTCTGCAGCAGCTCCTGCTGTGTCACGCCAGTCCTTTCGATTCTGCTCATCTGCGTAATTATGGGAGTTGAGGAAATGTCAGGAGCGTGAATTATCAGTTGGTAAAACCGTGATTTATCAATGCCTGTCCGTGTGCCCAGAGACGAGCTGTCTGGGTGCTTTTTCTCAGCTCTAAAAATAAAGATGGAATAACTGGCTAATTAACTTTCCGACTCAGATTTGGATTAGCTTTGAGGGCAGTGAGTTTTGATGGCTTTTCCAGCCTGCAGTCACTTGCGTTGAACCCAACTAACCTCTGCTGGCTGCTTGTCTCTGGGTGGCACAGGACTGGCTAAACAGTGCTGGTTCAGTTCGAGGCTTTGACAAGATGACTGAGCGTCCGTGCGCTTTAGCCTCTGGGCTCGTATCTTGCAAGATTAAGAGGATTCTTGGGCCGTCATTCAAATGTCAGAAGCCTGGGGATAAAATGCTCCATCTTGTAACTCCTAACACAGCCCTATAAAGTTGTTCCTGCTCCCTTGCTTCTACGTTGGTGCTGGTAGCTGGGGTATGTCTGCAAGCCTCTGCAGGGGGACCTTGTGAGAGACGTAGCATGTGCAAAAACAGGATTATAAGAGGTGAGGCTAGATAGAGGGTGGATGGGTTCAGCTTCCAGTAGTGAAGGGGAAGAGAACGTTTTATGTGTAAGAGTTTATTCAGCAACTTGGGTTAGGCTTCATTGTCCCAGCTGAATTTTAAGCAATAGTGACATAGAACAGCTAAAGCAGCGTAGCAGGGCTCTGAAGGCAAGTTGTGTGTGCTGCAGAAGAAAGCTGGTATGGGAATGTTTTCCTGGTTCCAGCATTGTCTCTGTGGAAGGACGGAGCGTGGAGGCAGCCAGACCAGGGCTCTGTGCCAACACAGTTGCTGGTGCAGAAGCAGGACCAGAAATACTAACTCCACACACGATACCCAATACCTTCTGAGCTAGCTCTGCCTTCAGAAACCCTGGGGCATCCAGGTAGCTGCTTGGCGGCTGCGTGCTCTCCTTGGTCGCTGGATCCCAGCCACCAGGATGGCTGCAGCCTGCCTAGAACTTGCCCTAGTTTTCCCCCAACGCCCTACTTTGAAAGGTGGAGGATGGGGCTGTGCTGATTCATAATCTCTGCTGGTCATCGATGAGCGTGTTGTTTGGATCAAACACAGTCCGCCCTGTATAGGTGGAAGGGGTTGAAACAACCCCGCAAATTCTGGCTGGGAGCTCCCTTTTCATGGGGAGGACTGACTTGCCTGCCCTGAAAAAACAATTAAAACCCTGTGCTTCAACTTAACTACTCTGGTGTCTTTTGTAACTCTGCTCTCCTTTAGCACTTATATAATATTGAATCAGAAATTGAGGAGTCGGACTACGATTCTGTTGACGGCAGCACCAGCGGGGCATCCTCTGAGTGGGAGGATGAAAGCGACAGCTGGGAGACAGACAATGGCCTCATGGAAGACGACCACCCAAAAATTGAAGAGTTAGAGCCTGAGGAGCCGGCAGCAGAGGAAGTGAAAAAAGTAGAGGAACAAGTCCAGGGAGCTGTGGCTATGGCAGTTGCAGATCTTGCTGCAGAGAAAGCTGGCAAGGACGGAGCCCCAAAGAGCTTCCGGGAACTAAAGGAGGCCATCAAGATCTTGGAAAGCTTGAAAAATATGACTGTGGAGCAGCTGCTGACTGGCTCTCCCACCTCCCCAACTGTGGAGCTGGAAAAACCCACTCGGGAGAAGAAGTTCTTGGATGATATTAAAAAGCTACAGGAAAATCTAAAGAAGACCTTGGATAATGTGGCTATTGCAGAGGAGGAAAAGATGGAAGCCATGGTGGAGACGGAGAAGAAAGAAGAAAAAGCAGAGGCACAGACACCAGTGCGGTCGGAGTGGCCCAGTGAGACACCAGTGCTCTGCCAGCAGAGTGGAGGCAAGCCTGGAGTCACCTTCACCAGTGCGAAGGGGGAAGTCTTCTCTGTGTTGGAGTATGCTCCAGGTGAGTGTGTCAGGTCAGGCCAGTGTGGGATACCCTGTCCTTCTTTCCTGCCCTGCAGTGTTTCTCTCTCTCCAGAACGTCTGCTTCCCAGTCTTTTGGTTTGAGTATCCTCTCTTCCTCCTAGTCCTTCTCACAGCTCATTAACTGGGGAGGAGAAATTAAGACAACTTGTGTAGCACAATCTGTTCTGGGACTTATGCCACCTAAAAAGCCAGGTTTCTCTAGGCACTACCGTAACTTCTCAAGCCACAGAAATAGGCTTCCCCTTCATCCACACTGGTAACTGACTCTGGAGGGCTCTGGAGATCAGTTGCTTTCCCTTGCAGATACTTCCTTGAAAGCTCCGGGATTTGTTCAGGCTTTTTTGCAGGGATGGATTGGTTAAGAAGCAGAGCAGGAACAGCTGGTGTTCTTGTGCAGGGTGTCCTTGGTGGGTGAGTGTCCTTGTTCACTTGTGCTAATGTTAATCAGCCAAAAATAAAAAAGAGCATCTGGTTTTGTGGAACACTGGTGACAGAGAAGCCCAGGGTGCTTGGTGAGCCAGCAGGCCGGACCTGCAAAGGAAAGGTGGCCAAACTGTTCTGGACCTGCAGGAGTGTATAAATAAAGATGGAGAGCTGTGCTTAGGTTTTGCAGAGAACGGTTCATCAGATTGTGTGATGATGCATCATTGTCCTGGCTGTGGGACAGGGCTCCTTCTGAGGCACGGGGACGACGTTGTGTGGGACCATGAGAACAGGAGATGCAAGTTGTGGCAGTGGGGGAAAAAAATCGAATAATCTCTAGGCTGCCTCCTGGCTCAGCACCAAAGCAAGTCAACTCTTCCAGATGATACGTTTAACACATGGGTCAATTTGCCTTCACGAGGAACCTGTGACAGTTTCCAAAGGCAGGCTTTAATCCCATTCTCCTCCTTGCCCCACAGATACCCATGCCTTCAAGAAAATGGAGTTCCAGCCCCCAGAAGCAAAGAAGTTCTTTAGCACTGTGCGGAAAGAGATGGCTCTCCTGGCCACCTCCCTGCCTGATGGCATCATGGTTAAAACCTTTGAGGATCGAATGGCAAGTGTCTGCTCTCAAATGCCTGTGTTAGTGCTGGGCTCAGCATCCGGAATCGCTTTCTTTGGAATTCCCTGCTTAGCCTTAATCCTTTGCATTAGAGCTGCAGGAATGTGTGCAGCCTGTGAAATATGGATGTAATTACCATAAATGCCTGCTTTTGCATTCCCAAAGGCCGGGAGGCAAACAACGGGGAGCTCCCCGTTGCAGGAAGCCTATTTTGGGTGCTTTGCCCACTGGACTGGCAAGGCAAGCGGGCAGCCAGCGAGAGGCTGGTGTAACCAGTGGGCAGCTTGGGGATTGCTGGCCGTCCTCTGAAGCTTTGCTTCAGATCCGAGGGCTTGGATCTGCCGTCAGGCCATGGTACAAGTGCAGCTTCTAGGGGGAAGGTGCCCCGAGAGGTGTTGCTTGAGCTGACTTTTGCAAGGGCTGAGTTAATCACATCCCCTCTCTCCCTCTATGTAGATACAACCCTACCAAGGTAAAAGGACATTTCACAGTGCCTTTCCTCTCTTGCCTCTCTCCACAGGATCTCTTCTCAGCACTTATAAAAGGGCCCACGCGCACACCCTATGAAGATGGCCTCTTTCTCTTTGATATCCAGCTCCCCAACATCTACCCTGCTGTCCCACCTCTGTTCCGCTACCTCTCCCAGTGCAGTGGGAGACTGAATCCCAACCTGTACGACAACGGCAAAGTGTGTGTCAGCCTCCTGGGGACGTGGATAGGGAAGGTAACGCCTTCATCTGCCCGTCTGTGGGGAGCGGTGGTTGTGCTGGGCTGTTTCTGGAAGGAGCCACTTCCTACCAAGCCAGGACTCCTTGGGTGACTTTTGGTCGCAGGTGGTGCTTGAGCTGGGGGCGACCTGGGCTTTGGGCTCTGTTTTAGATGTCTGGAGCAGGTAACTGGTGTAGTTTGGCTTCCTCTGTGACTCTTTGCCTCTTGCCTGTCCTTCCTTAATGAGAAGCCTGCGGTCAGACCAGCCGGGCTGGGTCACGGTTGGGCAGATCAGAGGTGCCAACACCAGCGTGGGGTGTTCTCCCAGGGTTTGGGTCCCTGTCTCCTGCGCTGCAGATGAATCATGCGGCGTGGCATGAAGTCCAGCTGGAGACTTGGAATAAGCAGAGCCAGGGAAATGCTGTTTGGGGCAGGTAGATAGACAGGAAGAGGCGGGGGAGTGGTTGGAACTGGTGTCTGGTATGTCGGGTTACATGGTTCCAGGTGGAACCGGCCTGATGGGGTGCGGTGATGGCAAAAAATGCAGTGGGCTGGTACAACGGGACACTAGCACATCACGTGCTTGTCATGTCAGTCCCTTGTTCCTGCAGTGAGCCAGAGGACTTTAGTGCTAGGAATGCGGAGAAACTGGGGCCTTGCTTCATCTAACAATTATCACAGAGCAAACCGGTGGTGCTTCAGCCCTCTTAACACATTTGCATGTGCCTTTCAGGGGACAGAAAGGTGGACCAGTAAATCCAGCCTGCTTCAAGTACTCATCTCCATCCAAGGTAAATGGTCCTGCAGAGCCTGCGGGACAGGAAAAGGTGGAGGGAGGAGGGGATGCAGGTTTAGGGGGGGCACGCAGTTGGGGTCTGCCACCCCAGTTGGCATAATGCTGCCTTTTGCTCTCCCCTTGCTGGACAAAGCAGTGTCCTTATCTCTCCAGTTCAGTTGTCAAAGCAGGTGCAAGCTTTTCCCATACTCTGATTTTTGGCTGCATCCCAGGTCCCTGACACAATGCCTTCCCTTCTTCCCACCGCGGCAGCTAAACACAGAGCTGTTTTGCTTGTTATTCTGAGCTGACAAAGGTGAACCGCTGTGTGCTCAGCCGGTTACCAAAGTTAGTTGAAGTTGCTAAAACTGAGCTTTATTTGCAGAACTGTTTTTTATACCCACTGAGTCACCCGCCCATCCTGCATTGGGCATGCTTTTGCACACAGTGATGGTGTTTGTGCTCCTTCCGAAGCAGAGAATAATCAGGGGTGTGTCTAGACCAGCCCCAGGGCTTCCTGCCATAGGGCTTTGCCCTGCTGTATCTAGTTTGAGAGCAGACAGACTAAATCACATCTCTTCCTCAAGGCCAGCTTTCTGTGCAGGGAGCCCTGGCGTGTGACTTGAGAAACCTTTGACACAGACCAAAGGCTCCTGCCTCGAGTCAGCAGGGCAGCTCCTCCTCCGAAGTCTCACAGTCCACCTGTATCCTCCTGTGGAGGAATGACACCACCAGAAAAGCCTTTTCTCGTTTACGAAGCTGAGGATCCGAATTGAGAAAATTAAATACTAAATCTTTTACTGGAGCAGCTTGGTGCTAGTGAAAAATCTCTCACCCCCTCCTGCTGCCTGGGCTTTGAGAGACTCATGATCTCACCTCCACCGGCTCTAGTGCAGTTGGTGGCAGGCTGCCAGCAGCCTGGCAGTATTGGTGCCATTGCTCCATACGTGTAATTGCGTTAGACCAGAAGCAAGCAGGAGAAAGCTGGTGTGGGTGACTTGTCACAGTGTTCACTCTCAGAACTGCGCTGGCTGATGGGACTGTGCTGGGTAGGCTAGGACCTGGCCAGCTCAAAGCCTGTTACTGAAGATTTGCCTTTTTTCGAAGAAGAGGGAAAAACCCACTATGTAAGGGGGGGGAAAAAAAAAAAGCGTTGGGTGTGTTTGTGGGGTTTTTTTGCTAGGAGGGGAAGGGAGCTGTGAAACCTTTCCCCTTTCGATCTCCTCTGCTGCTACGTGCCCTCTGCACTGCACTGGTGGAAGACTTGCTCTCGCCAGCCAAGGATCCCGAGTGCCACTCGTGGTAACGTCCGAGCTCCCCGCCGCCCTAGCAGGAGGCCACAGACCCACTCGGACGAGCGTTCCCCTTGCGATACCAGTCTGTTGCATCTTGCAGGTTCCTGGTTGTCCAGCCTGGCCTCTGCTACCTGCCTGAAGCCAAAGGATGGTTTTCCCGGGTCCCTTCCCTGCGCTGCGGGTGACGCTGGCGTGATGCCTCAGCAAGGCAGCTCTGTCACCCTTGAACCGCGACACCCTGGCAGAAATCAGGGCCCAGCCGTGGGTGAAGTTCCTCCCTTAACCCCTCGCTCTCCCCTTCTCTTGGCAGGTCTCATCCTAGTGAATGAGCCCTACTACAACGAGGCGGGCTTCGACAGCGACCGGGGTCTCCAGGAGGGCTATGAGAACAGCCGCTGCTACAACGAGATGACGCTGATCCGGGTGGTGCAGTCCATGATGCAGCTGCTGCGCAGGCCGGTGGAAGTCTTCGAGCACGAAATCCGGGAGCATTTTCGCTGCAACGGCTGGCGCCTGGTGTCCCGCATCGAGTCCTGGCTGGAGACGAACGAGCTGGTGGAGCGCAGCCACGAACAGGCCAACGGGGCGGATTCCGCCTCCCTCCTCTCTGCCTGCGGCGCCCTGGCCGAGAGCCCCGGAGGCTCCGCGGGGTCGCCGGGGGGGGACGGCGGCGGCTCGGAGCAGGGGGCGGCCGCCGAGCTTTCCGACTCGGCGCTGGACGGGAAGGAGGAGCTGGACGAGTCGGAGTTCGCAACCTCGACACCCGACGCCGGTGATCTCCAACAGTACTCAGACTCGGAGAGCACGGGCCAAGCCAGGGGGGTAGACCTGGCCAGAGACCGAACGGACGAGGGGAAGGCTGCCCAGGACTCTGCCTTGCAGCCTAGTGTGAAACCAAAGAAAAGGAGAAAGAGCTACAGGAGTTTCCTTCCGGAGAAGAGCGGTTACCCCGATATTGGGTTCCCCCTCTTCCCTTTGTCCAAGGGGTTCATTAAAAGCATCCGCGGTGTCTTGCAGCAGTACCGGGCTGCCTTAGCAGGGGCCAACATCCCGGAGTGGACAGAGGACAAATAAACTGTCAGGTTAGGGACAGGCAGGTGCAGGGGAGAAGGGAAAGCAGCAGAAAGGAAATTGGCAAACGCTGTTACCAGTAAACTGGCTTCTCCTTCCAGCTTTTCTTCCTCAGCTTGGTTTGTTCCAAAGAAGGTGGTAGGCCTGATTTGCTCCTCCAAGGAAAGGTTGTCTAAGCATGAATAACTCTTTGCCCCCTGCCCTTCTTCCTTCCCCCTGTCCCGTGTACGTGCTCCTCTTGAGAGTTTTGACCCTGCAATGGTAAGATTTGAGACCTGCACAGAAGCAGTCTTGCAGCCACGTTCCCTCTGCACTTTCATCTTGGGGCACCTTTCCACACAAGGACTCTTCCCACCCAGTGCTACACCCGGCAGTTTGTTCTGGTGGGGTTCAAGCCAGGATGAGTGATTGCTGTAGCACCTGGAAGCGAAGGGCAATGCCCTCCCGGTCTTTCATTTTTCTCTGCATTGCCATGGGTTTTGTGAAGTCCACCCCAGCTTATATGTACTTAGACATCGGATTGTGTTTGCATTGAAGTTGTCTACACCATATGGAGTTGCTCTAGTCTTAGTTGTTCACCGATAGCTACAAGGTTCTTCTGATCAGGACTTGGTAGGCAGAACCAGAGCTCTGCACTAGCACTTGTGCTGCCCTGGAAGCACCGCGGGGTTTCCATCCAGTTCTGCAACTTCTGGTTGGTCTTCTGGAAGCAATTCTAGCCATCCCCACTTCTTTTTCTCCAGAGTAAGGCAAACTTCCTTTTCCCCACCGTGCATGCCTGTCTTCTAGAAATACATGGGATTCAGGGTTCTGCCCTTATTACTTAGGTATCCGCGTCTTTCGTTCCCAGCCATCCTGGCTGTCACACAGCACTACACCTACCCCTGTCTCTTGTCCTCGCCTGGGCAGGCAGCAGCGAGTGATTTTTTTTCTTTTTTTTTTTCTTTTTTTTTTTTTTTTTTCTTTTTTGAGGGGGTTGTATTGTAGATCTAGCAGCTAGTCTGGATGGTGAACCTGGCACGGCTGCTGCTTCTCCGTCGTTTGGCTGTAAATTGGTATTTTCGGAGCTGTTTGAGCCAGGGTCACCCAAGGGAAAGAAGGAGCTGTCTTGTCGTGACGAGGTCCCGGTGCAGCCGCAGCAGCCTGTGACTGCTCCCGCGCTGTCGCTCAGCCAGCGGCTGGAGCACGTCAGACGCTGGTGCGGACTGTTAGCGCTTCCTTCCCTTGCCAGCCGGGTCCCGGGGCGGCCGGGGAGCGTTGCGGGCGCAGCACGTGCTCTCCCTCATCTCGGCTGCAGCGCTGCCGCGCCGCGCGGGGAAGCGGCTGGTGAACATCAGCCCGTGCTTCAGCAGCAAGAGGGCTGCCTGAGCTGGTGCCCGCGAGCACTTTGAAGCAGTGACTTGCCAGAGTCCTCCTGGTCAAGACACCTTCCTGAAAGCCTCTTTTTTTCTCTGTGCATGCACTTACTGTCACTTCTGGAGCTGGGAGATCACGCTCCAGCACCACTGCATTTGCCCAGTGGTTCAGGCATTGGAGAAGCACCCACTTAGCATCCATGTGGAGCACAGTCTGTCAGGGAGTGTCCGTTGGTCCTGCCAGCCAGCGCAGGGAGCCGGTGGTGCCAGGCTTCCCAGGACGGAGCCGGGCTGAGCAGATGGCTCTGCCACAAGTCAGGACGGAGCCACAACTCTCCTTTGCTCTTGCTCGATACGGCTGTGTCCCTTCCCCAACCCCGGGGCCAGGATCTGACCTTCTCCTTCTGAAACAGAGACCAGCAGGCGAATCTCAGCACGTTTGCACAGTGCTTTCTGCTCCTTGGAACACCCAGGTCTGCACCCACTGACCCAAATCCCCTGTGCCTGTTCTTTCCAGCTGCCCCCCCCCCCCCCCCGTGAGGCTCCGGAGCCGCCCTCCTGTCCCCCACCCACCGCCGGGATTGCGGGAGGCACGTCGTGCTCCGGAGGAACCCGGGCTTGGCTGTGAGCACAGACCTGGGCCTGCAGAGCTCTGGGAGGCCCCGGGAGGATCGCCTGGGCGGCAGCTCCAGCCCTGCACTGCTGGCCCCGGGAGCCCTCCCTGCCCCACGGCCGGGGGGCTGGCAGGGTGGCAGACCCCAGCCGGGCTGCGGGGATGACGCTTGGAGCCACGGGCAGCGCGAACCGCAAGGCCGAGCTCGCCGCCGCTTCCCGGCTGTGGCTGGTGGTAAATGAATGAATCCCTTGGAGCGAGGAGTTGGGGGGGTGTCTCTGAAGTATAAAGGGCTGATTGGGGCAGAGGGGTGAGGCGGTTGCTTCGGGGCAGGGGAAGGGCAGGCGGAGAGGCTTGTTCCGCAAATGATTAAACCTCTTGCTCACCAGACAAAATTGCGGTTGGTGATCTACACACGCCGACTTCCTCTGTTCCCCCCCCCCCCGCGCCATGCCGGGCTGTGGCTGTCCTCGGCCCCTCCACCAGCCAGGGAGGGAGAAACCCCCTCAGGGCCGAGCCAGGGCTGGGGCTGGAGGAGCTCTCGGTTCCCCGCTTTACCCCTCTGCAGCTCTGGTCTCGGGGGGCCGGTCAGGCTGCGCGGGAGGAGAGCAGGCTGCCGGCCTGAGCTGCTCCAGTCCTCCCCTTCGCCCAAGAAGTCTCTTCTGTTTCCTCTGATCGTAACCAAGAGCTTTTGCACAGGTTCCTGGGGCTTCCTTGGCCTTCTGGAAGGGGGCACCGCTCCCCGGCTGCCACTACCCCTGGCACCGCTCGCTCCCTGTAGCTGGCTGTCCCAAACCAAGGCTTGCACAGAGGTTTACAAATTTTCTAAAGCTTTTGATAATGTGAAGCTCCTGGGTGATGAGGTTGGTGGTGAGCACACTGCAGCTATGTAATTTTTTGTGTATGTATGTAATATTTAAGGGTAACAAAATTTAAAAGGCTAAAACCTTTAAAAAAAATTTAAAAACACACAAAAAAAGCCAAAGCATGATGCATATTGTTAGCCTTAAAACTGGCTACATGACTGTGTGATGTACAAATGAGAGCAGCCTGTAACTGTTTTAAGTGCTGGGGTTGGGGAAGAAGCATTACAAAATCAGTTTGTAGCCTTGATTCTGTACAGTATTTAATGAAAAAAAAAAAAAAAAAAAAACCTGACTATTGAGGCCATGCTTAGAGGTGTGTTGTTCACGTGCAGATGTGGATGCTTGGTTGCTTACAATATATGTATAAAGTGCTGTGTGACCATTAAAACTTTTTTTACCTGCAGAATTTTTTTTTTTTTTTTTTGTTTGGCTAACCAAGGTGTAATAAAGGAGGGAAGATGACTTGCCATTAAATTTTGCCTCTGTGAGTAGATCTGACTGTTGTCTCTTTCTTTCCCCCCCTCCCAGCCGCCACGCTTTTGGCCCTGGCTCTGCCCCACGGCCCTGCTCGGGGGCCGGGGCTGGCCGGGGTCCCTCTGGCTGGCGAGGCCGGGGGGGAGCTGGGCGGATTGGGGGCGAGGGGCTGCCCCCCGGCTCCCCGATTCCCAAGGCAGTGTCGGTCAGGCTGCGGTTTCCTCTCCCCTGCTCTTTGCTGGCGTGGGGTGCGCGCCGGCGGACAGGGCCGGACCCGGCACGAAGCAAAACTCTTGGCAGAGCCCCCCAGCCCTGGGGCTTCCCCCCCAGCGCCCAGGTAAGTGGTGGGATGGGGCCAAGAGGCTCCTGCGCCTTCTGGGTGCTGGTGGGGGGTTTGCCCCCGTGGCTGCCCGCCCCCCCCCCCAGCCTGCAAGGGCAGGCTCCAAGAGGAGCCAGGCAGCGCTCTCAGAGGTGGCTCTGCCGGAGCTGTTCAGAACCAGCGCCCATCTGCCCCTCGAGGGGGGAGTGGTAGGAGCCGAGGGGCTGTCGGGGGCTCCGGGTTTTGGAAGCACTTGGCTCAAGGAAGAGATGGGTGCAGCAAAACCTGGGAAAGGGATGGTAAGGGTGCTGCCAACCGCCCCGCTGCTGGGAGCAATGCTGCTGCGCTGGGGGAGCCCCGGAGGAGGCTCCAGGGACCCTTCGGGTGCTCTGAACCCCAACAGCTCGGCACTGGTGCCCCATCTCACCACCCCCCCCCCTCCCCTCTCACTTGAGGAGGCAGCCAAGAGCTCTGAGCGTACCCCCCCGGGCTCTCCCTGCAGCCTCCCCCGGCAGCAGCGGCTGTTCCCCGTGCTTGGAGAGAGTTCAGCGAAGCGTGGCTGAGCCTGTTTATACACCTGGCCCAATACCTCAGGAGAAATAACTTTATTTTGGGAGGTGGTTCCCAGCTGCTGCCTGTCTTGCTGGCCCGAGGAACAGGAGCTCTGCTCCCCCACCAGCGAATGGGGATGTCGGAGGAGGGGGGGAGACAACAATCGTGCTCTTCTTTTCCTGGTTCTGCAATCCTAATTGCATAGTTTGCAGATGAATAAATGCAAACAGCCACCACTGTTTACTCTTCTACTTTGTACTTGAGCGCTGTAAATGAGGTTTAATTACTGCAGTTTTATACAAAACAGGCTCAGTAATCCCCCTTCAGGCAAGCCCCCGGGCAGGGACCTGTTGCAGAGCTCCAGCTGGCCCCAGGCTGCCTGGGAAGGGGGATGCATGAGCTGCCCCCCCCCCCGCCTCCCCGCTCCCTGCAAACCAAACCCCTCGGCTCCAACAACTCCCTCCTCGAACCTCTTTGACCCCTTCCCCGCCCTCTCTTGGAGGCACTTTAAACCCTCCCCAAGACAGCCCAAAGCAGCCCTGCGGGGCCAAGCTCCCTGGATTCCATCAGCCCCAGCACAAGGCTGAGCAGGGAGGCACCGGCACACCCCAAAAAGCCGGGGGGCTGTGACAGCAGTGCCCCGGGTCCTGCCTCTGGGGCCATCGCCCTGTCGGGCTCGGGCAGCGCGGGCAGGTCCCGGGGCCCTAAACCCGCCCTGGCAGCGTGTGAGCCCAGCCCGGGGTGACAGCACCACAGCCTGCCCCTGACAGCAGCCCGCAGCTCACATTTAAAACCCAAGGGTTTTTTGTTTTTTGTTTTTTTTTTTTATTATTTTTTTATTTTTTTGCAAACGCTAGATATTTATTGCATTTCTCACAAGAATAAACTCTGCTTCTACAGGAAGCTTTGGGTAGAAACATTTTTTAAAAAGTCAATTTCTCGTATTAGACATATTGGTCCTGACTGTCTCCGGGGGTGGCACTGGCTCTGCGGTGGGGACAGGAGTGACGCCACCGTGTGCGGCCGAGCCGGGGAGGGGACAGGGCTGTGCCGGCGCAGCCGCCCGGGGCCGGGACCTCGTACCGGGATAAAACACGCTGGCGTCTCGCCGGCACCGAGTACCTGATGGGGCTCGCAGCTCGGTTTTGGGACAGTGCTGGTGGCTGTCCTAAGGGGGTAAAGCTAAGCGTGGGGGCAAGGGAGGGGACGAGCACCCGCAGCCCCCAAGGGCTATTGCTGTGGAAGGAGGAGGAGGTTCCTGAGTGGGAGGAAGGCTCTGCCGCCCTCATGCTGGGCCGTGCCGGCAGCTCAGCGCTGCGGGGTGGGGGGGGGGGGGGTGTGGGGGGGTGAACCCGGCCGCTCAGGAGCCGCTGAGGACGCGGCAGAGGCGGCCGTGGATCTGCCCCTGGACGGGCTCGCAGGCCAGCGCCTCGCCGTCCACCGTCATGATGCCCGCGGCCGCCCGCGGCTCCAGGCGGAAAGCCCGGACGGGGACGTAGCGCAGGTGGGGACAGTTCAAGTCCAGGTGGGTCCCCCGGGACATGGCCAGGAAGAGCTTCAGCAGCGCCACGCGGCTGATGCCGGCCTTCAGGTAGAAGAGGTGGATGCAGCCGTCGTGCAGCCGGGCCGCCGGTGCCATCAGCAGGTTGGTGCCCAGGTGGGACTGGTAGATGGCGTAGACGGAGACGAACTCCTCCTCGGGGACCACCGTCCAGTGCGCCGGCACCGGCTGGCACAGCGGCACCAGCAGCGAGTCGGTGGGCAGAGCCCCGGGCGCGTCCGTCCCCGCCGGTGGCGCGGTGCGGCCGGCCTGGCCGTTGGTGACGGGCGCGTGGGGGGCCCTGGGTGCCGGGGGGGCGCCCTGCTCGGGGACAGCGGGCAGGTAGGACAGGCGGCCCTGGTACACCCGCAGCTTGGCCAGGCACTGGAGGGTGCCCAGGGTGAAGCGGGCATTGCCCAGCCGGCGGTACTTCTCGCTGTCGATGTCCACGTCCGAGATGAAGCCCCAGCCGAAGCCGAGGAAGGAGAAGAGGCGCTTGCCCGAGGCCGTGCTCAGCGAGACCAGGTCCATCTGCGTGTGCAGCCCCTTGCACAGGATGAAGGTGCAGTTCGTCAGCAGCTTCTTCTTGGCGACGTGGTCGTTGCTGCGAGGGATGGAGAGGGTGAGTTTGGGCTGGACCCAGCTTGGGGCCTCTCCTGTGCAACCCTCGCCCCAGTCACGGTTGGGACGTAACCCAGCTGGGTGGCAGCGTCCCTCGGGGGCAGCTGCTGGGAGAGGGTCTGCTGGGGCTGGGAAGGGTAAACCAGCTCCTTGAAAGAGCAAACTGAGTTGGGGTTGCTGGGCCAGGGCAATCCCAGTCCCCCTCGCCCACACAGCGGATTCGGCTGTGCCCCGGGGTGGATCCTTTAGGGTAAAGATTTGCCAGATTTAGAGCCCAGAGAGGAGAAAGGCTGCGGGGGGAGCTGGGGACGCAGGGACGTAAGCTGAAGGGACTGGCTGGGGCTGGGCAGCACCAGCCTGCGGGGAGGTGGGGACCCAGGCAGGCACCCCCGTGCTGGGCATCCCGGCACCCTGCCCCTGGGCTGCAGCCACCCTCAGCCTTTCGCTTCCCCGGCCCCGGGCGCGGTGCCGGCAGCGGGTGCCGCCGCGGGGTCGGGGCTCACCCTGCGTAGTGGTTGATGGAGGCGGCCAGGGCGTTCCCGGAGCCCCCCGGCAGGATGCACAGCGGCTTCTTCATGGCGTCCTCCCAGTCCGGCCGCTCCATGAGCCCGTTCACCACCTGCGGGGACACAGGGAGCCGGTGGCACCGGGGGCCGGGCCAGGAGCCCAGGAGTCCCAGCCCTGTTCGGGAGGAGCAGAACCCGCGGTGCCAGGGCAGGACCGAGGCCACGGCTGCCCTGCTTTGCTCCAAGCTAGCTGCCATCTCTCCTTTGCCGTTCCCTGCCTCCGTGTCTCCAAGTTTGGCTCCTGCCCCACGCACCCCTCCTCTCCCGCCTCGCTGCCCCTCCTGGCCGGGGGGGCCCCTCACCTCGTACAGCAGCCCGTCCCCGGACATGACCACCAGCGTGTCCCACTGCGACAGGTCCTCATCCCGCACCTTCTCGTGTGCGTGGTGGGGTCTCTCTGCGGGGGAAAGCGGAGAGAGTCGAGCATCGCCCTCCGTCACTCCGCCCTGCCTGCCGCCACCTCCCAGACGGTGACCCCAGCCCCACTGTCCCCACGGGGGTCCCAGCCCTGTTGAGTGCAACCAACCCACCCATCGCATCGTCCAAGCCAGCCCCGCAGCAGCCGGAGCCACGGCGATGCAGGAGCAGGTACGGCGCCCTTGGAGGAGCCTCTCCCAGGGCAGCAGCACCCAGCTAAGCTCCCGGGAAGGGAGGAGGAGGAGGTGAGGGAGCTGCTGGAGGACTCACCAGTGATGAAGACGGTGGTGGCGATGTCGGCCTCGGCCAGCATGGGCTGCACCACGGCCTGGAAGTCATCGAGCGCGCGGCCGGCGCCGCTCAGCGGGTTCAGCAGCACCAGCGCGCGGCAGGGCCGGGGCAGCACCCCGTAGCTGTCACCTGGGCAGGGGGAGAGCGGCGATCAGGGTGCTGGGGCCCTGGTGCTGCCCGGGGAGGGCTCTGCGAGCCAGGACAGCGTTCGCCACAGCCCCACGGGAAGGGGAGCTGCCCCCCCGACCCCCCACAACCTCCCTGGGCTGCGTCCCTGCCCAGAGGCAGCGGGAGGTGAGCAGGGATGGAGGGTCCCTGCTGGGAAAGCAGGGGAGGTGGCAGAGACCGGGACACAGGGTTGTGCGGGGGCTCCTCTGGAGCTCTCCTGCAATCACCAGAGATGTTTGATGCCCGGGCCGGAGCCCCGCAACAACCCGGCGATGCCACAGCAGAGCCGGGGCTGCGCAGCACCGAGCAGCCCCGTGCCACGGCGTGCTGCCGGCCACGCTTTCGGACACGCCGAGGAAAGAAAGGTGGAAGCAAAAGGGGAGGTTTGAAACCCAACCTCCTCCCGGGGCACCCGGCCCCGAACACCTTCGGTTGTGAGTTCTCCCTGCTGAACCCCACGGCTCACGACACGGCTCGGTCCCAGGGAGCCAAGCACGGGGGGGACGAGGGCCAGGGGAGACTCGAGGTCCCAATTCCCCACAT